TGATCATCTTTAATGGATTTATGTTTGGACAAACTCATGCCGGCTCAGGACAAAGTTCAGTAGACTCCTATGGAAGAAGAACAATTGTTGTAAAAGGTAACCATCGAGCAGAACGCGCAACTAACGAGTATGCGAAATACACTACGAGTCTTATTTCCGATTGAAAATTTTATATAACTTACATCTTAGAAAGAGTTTACTACAGGCAAGAAAGCCAAATTTAGCTTGATCGAATCCATACTTAAACTTAGTCTCCTTTTAACGCACAAAAGTTAGCGGCCAACAGCCCAAGCTACAGCATCTAATCTTCAAATCGATAAATCTAATATTCCAGCAAACAGAAGAATGCAACCCGCCATGACTTTAATAATCAGAATTGCATGTCATACAATTTTGCGCAACTCGACACTTCCCGTTAGTTAGAACTTGATGCAATTCGCACACACTATAATTTAAAAACAAATTACTCCGGTTTGAAATGTTGTTGCCTTTCCGCATCAACTCATCCGTGCCGTGAGCTCCAAACAGAAACCATTTTAAGAAACGTCGAAGCCGACATTTTTGGTTTTCAATCAAGGAGACAATACCTCGCTTTCAATAAGTCGAGGTAGTTGTCTAAACCACCAGCTGAGAACCAAATAGGTGAACTTTGACGAAAGTTTTAACAGGTTTCATTTCGTGTAACTAGTTTCAAACATCAATCATAACTAAAAATGAGGAAAATTATAAACACATCAAAAATCATTTCTACGTTTTACAAAGAATCATTGCGAATTGGTACACTATACATTGTTTTGATTGTCGAGCACTATTGATTGGACGTGAAATATACCAAGTCCAATGCAAATTTGATTTTATCTTTTACAAACCACTTTAAGTAAAGAAAGACTAAAACCTGGGAGGTCATAACTAACTTGAACACATTTGATTTCATGCCTTTGTGCATCAAGCGATTCATGGCCAGAAATTCATGTCACTTTTGCACGCGGCACCGCTGACCGAAACGCAGCCTCTAGAGACGACCAGGACATTGCTAGTCTCCCTCGCAGCCGTTTTTAGTCTCGTCACGCAACGCTTCTCCACACAAACGGCTGCGAGGGAGACTAGCACATTGCTCGCACATGCTAAATCTCCTCGGTACATGCTGCGATTAATTGTCGAGGAGCCTCGATCGTGTCTTGTAGATGGATTACAAAAAANAATGTCTATATTTTACTTCATATAATTTAAATAGTTACATAGCAGGTCCACATCAGCTGATAGCTACCGATGGAACTATTACTTCAGTAATATTTCTAATTTTAACCTGCTTTATCAAATAAAGAATCGATTGATTGATTTAGCATCTTAAGAAATGAGGAGTATGAAAACAAAAGCATCCATTTAAATTCAGTGAGATATTTTGTTAAAGATCCTTGAATTTGACCTGAATATCCATGCCCTTTTCCATAAAGTATATCTCATATTATTAAAAACTGGATCATTGGATAATGCAATTCAAGACTTTTCATTGGCTTAGCCAATATGGTATATGAGCCAATATACCATAAACTACGATATGGTAAGCATACGCATAAGCTTAAAATTGAAAGGGAACTAAAAATGTAATAAAATTTAATAATTTAATGTAGCGTTTTTAATAAAAACAGTTATTCCACTCGCGTTTGTTGGATATGAGATGATTATAGCCAACGAGGCGCTACGCACCTCGTTGGCTATCTATCATCTCATATCCAACGCGTGCTCGTGGATTAATTGTTAATTCGATCATGGCTTTTATTTGTTTTTCACTATTTGCCAATTTCTCAGAAGCACTGTGTTTCGCGATATTTTCAGGATAGAGTACTTGGTTAAGTGGAGTGGCTACTCCAAATATGAATCCACGTGGGAGGTGTCGGACAACATTTCCGAGGATTGTATTTGGTCAGTTTTTTAAAATAAATATTACCATACAAGTGTAACACACTGGTCTAGTACTGCGATTTCTTTTCTGTGTGTGTGTTCTAAGTTTAATTTTATGTGAACCTTTGACATTGATGCAAAGTAATTGTTTTGTTTCTCCCTATCTAAAATTTTAAATAAACTTGTATACTTTTTAAAATTATTTAAGCTTATGAGACATGGAATGAAATGCAGAGAAGCATACGCAGTCTCTTATTTGTGTGGATAGTGAAAAACCTCCATAAAATAAAGACTCTGATTCTGTATTGTTAGGTTGTTTGAAAATCCACAGCCAGGAAAGAATGAAGTAGTTCAGGCAGTAGACAGCTTCAGAATAGCAGTAGAAGGAAGATTGAAATCTAAATGCTGCCTTCCAGTGACAATCGATTTTCCTTCTCACATTTTCAAACACTTGTTTGAGGGTAAAGGAGAGTTCACTGGGGGATGGCATTACCTTGAAGAGAGGCACTTTGACAGAAAATATTTTCCACATGATTGGGATAGGTGTCTTGACTCTTTTGGAGAAGGGCATAAAAATTTTTTTTCCAGTAAGAATGCGTTTTTTCTTGTCCTGGTCATCAAAAAGGTATTTGAAGCTGCAAAGTGGGGAGGTGCAGCCATGCAGTAGGGCTTACCAGGAATGTCTCTCCTTTTCCTTTGCAAGAACTCCATGTTAATATAACTTTGCCTTTATTAACTATTTACTGAAAGAGGTCAGAGAGAGTAGACAGGGTTTTACAATTCAGTTGGCTGAAAACTGCTGAACCTGGAATATTTTATTTCAGAATTCAAACTTGAGCTCTGCATTGACAAGTGATAATTGTAAAGTACATTTAATCCATCTCTCACTTGCAAGAGTTACAGTCCAAAGATCTGGAAAATTCTAGCACACTACCAATCAGAGAAAACCACAATACGGTTGTCATCATGTTGACAAGCGTCTGATTTTTGCTCTAGATTCTTTAATTTCAGAATCCCAGTACTTTTCATATTTTTTGTTGTATGCTCTAGGCAATCTTTCTCTTTTTTGCAATGCCCATTGACGACCTTCTGTGCGTATAATGTCTGCTGGACTGTCCCAGTTGTTGGATTTGCGTCTCAAAACTCTTCTTGCATTGTCATTATTCTTTTCTACTCCTGCAATTAAAATGACAGCAGCTAGTTATATTTTAAACCTCTAGGCAGGCATTGAGATATATGTAGAACATGGCCTATTAAAAGTTTATTCAAAGCTTAAACCAGGTGTGAACAGTAACCACTTAAAAAGACCTAAGAGAGTCATTTTGTTAGAATTCCATTCAACAAAATATTTTTTGTTGACTTGATGTTCTGCCAGAGATTTTGTGTAAAATGTGTTATTTTATTACTGATAATATCTTACAGCTGTGTAACAAGAATACTCTGCAGAGGGTATGTGAATTCTGACATGTACCTTGTCCTGTAAACTGTTTCACATTGCTGTGTCTTTTCATGGTTACTGGGACATGGAATACCGTAGAATGCATGTAGCATGTCACATTCTTTTTACCATAACCAGTTCTCTTGTTGCCCAAGGAACAAAACAAATTCACCCAATCTTTTGCCTTTAAAAACAGCAATTATAACAACAACAAAAATACTCTGGTAAGAACTAATATATCAAACACAAGAGGCAGTGTTTCATTGGGATATCCAAACACAGAGAAGAGAGTTGAAAATATGACGTGCAGCAGATTATTTTTGACAAAACTTGAGGTGTTTGGATAGCCAATGAGACTCTCTCAAGTGTTTGATATATTTTCTCTATCAAAACAAAAACTAAGGAGGAAATGGAGAAGTAAAATTGACAAAATCTGTGCTAATTGAGACCAAAACTCCTTCATGGTTGTGAATTTTCTTTCTTTTAACTTAGCGAGTTATTAATCAGAGTTTGAGAGGTTAAC